TAGTAATCCGTTTAATTTTGTCTAATCGTCTATCGTACATGCGAAATTAGGTGAGCGATTAAGTAGATTCGTCGCGATAACGCGAATGAAGGACGATGCGCTGTTCTGAGAAACGGAAAAACGCGCACAATTATGCAATTCGCGTTCAGGAATTCGCGGGAGGGAAAGAATCATGGCGTTTCAATGCAAAACATACTGCAACGCTTTAATGACATGTCCGGTAAACAAGGCATCGCGATCGAAGAATGATTTAGCATAGCTGATGAGATCATTGATTGTCTTCTATTTAACTCCTTCAACTTCCGTAATTAGTTCTAACAACAAGAATCCTAATAATGGATCTGTATTTTACCGCGTACACGCACAATAGGAAAAAATTCCATTAAATCCAGGAACTATTATACATATCATGTTATATAAGGGTAATTTTTTTATTTAATTCTTCAATATCTACTGAGTATCTTCAGTATATTTTCTAAGAGGGGGTACTTATTGAGAAAATATATTTTATTTAAATTTATTTAAAATTCTCGAGAGAGTGAGAATGTTAAGTAATGTATGTTAATCACGTACAAGTGAACTAATGTAACTTGTGTTTACGCGACTTTGCACGATATGTATAATATGTATGTGCGAGCAAAAATGATTCGTTTTGCTTAAGGCAATAGACAATTTATGTATTATTATTAATCATCGATATATACTGTATAAAAAAGTTACATTAATTAAATCGGATTGCATATGTTTTACGCACGACATTTATAAATTGTACCTCACATAATCAGCTGTCGGCCAGTCTGATCAATCATTCTCGCGACTTATTAGCATTGTAAAAGTGTGACGTGCAACCGATCTAAAGGAAAATCATTCATAATCACTCTTAATCATTCGGGTTAGATAGATCTTTATATAATTTAAATTTAACGACCGATAAGAGATTTCTTTTATAACAATTGCTTTCGAACTTTTCTTTTTGCACGCGATTTACAAATGATATCGGATATGTTTATCCGATTTTTATATAACAACGTTTAATTACATTCAAATTTCTCGATCAAATCACATTAATTTTAAGATACAGATGTAAATGACGATATAATAAAACCGGGAAGGACTGATTAATAATATCCGGTAGCGGTTTAATTATTTACGACTTGTAATAAATATCGTTGCCATGAATAAAATACGTTGCGTTTTATTGTGCCCAAGAATAAAGACAACATTTATCGCGTATATGTTCAGTATCAAAGTTTAAATTTCGACAGGGGATGTCTCGATTCCATCAGATCGATCGAGAATGACAAAATCTCCTAATAAAAACGTCAGAATAACCAAAGACAAAAATTGTGTAAGTAATAATGTCAAGAATACGAACCACACATTCATACGTGCTAATATACTCAAAATACATCTCGCGTAGTATTCACGTTGATTTCGTGGCGCCCGAGTTGCTCTCCGTAGTGGAACTAGTTTCAATCTTTGTTTAGATTCTTCTTCAACGAAAGTTGATAATATAATAACTAAAACAAATTCTCCGTATTCCCTTATGTTTTGTCAAGCCCCACTCCGGTAGTCGGCGACCTCGAACCAATCCGTCATTGTAAACAAATAATGTTTATGTTTCTCGCATTCCTTAACGTAACTATAAGATCATGCTTTATTATGATAGTAAAAATTGTATAATGTTAAACCATGCAAATTACATTTAAATAATTTAATATAGTTTTAAAAATAATTTAATATAACTTTGAATATGAGAAAGATTAATTTAACTATTAGTTAACTTAAATAAATTTAATACGGATTTATACACATATATATATAATAATATATAGAATAAAACTCGATAAAAGCTCAAGTTATTATAACTTAAAATAAACTCGCGATATTTAATATCCAAAAATTATAAAAATAATATTCAATCAAATCTTTGCTAAAGAAATGCCGACAGATGTTCGAAGAATTTATTATCAAAACGGTTTCTCGAATTAATATGTTACGATACACCTTGTATAACAAGAGAATACGTTGTAAAACATAATAATGTAGTGGCAAAAAATGATCGAACAAGCAATCGGATGTCACGATATGTGACAATTTTTACTTACGAATATTGGCGGTATCATAATCTTTTTACGATCACTCGTATCAATTAAATTTTTTTTTAGATCGGACGTTATACTTATTATTGTAATTTTGAAATGTTATAAAAGTGATTCACTTTATTTTAATTAATTTTATTTAAATTTATTCTTATACGTATGCGTTATGCTTGGCAAGTCTTACACTTCAGGGACGGCAGTTAAATAACAACAACAAGTTATTTTTCGTGCGCAATTTTACAAATAAATTTCACAAAAATTTTAAATTTTAATTCAAGGTGATAATTGTCGCCGGACTCTTCGGCTTGCCATAAATGCATAAAACTTAATTGCATCGCGTCCCCGGAAGACTCGTAAAATAAATTTGCCCGACACAATCATAATTTCGCATCTAACTTAAGTATATGCGAATAGGGAAAACATTAATAATAAAATAAGCATGGCGTAATAAGTCGAGAAAAGAGTCCACTGAAGAAATAAATTTAAATTTTTAAATTTTTATTTACACTTAAGGGTTTAAATTTAATTTATGTTAATAAATTGATATGAATTTGCGCAAGAATTTTGCAAAAAAATTCTGTATTAAAAAAGGATTCTGTCGGCGTAAGTTCTAAGAATATTTTTGCCGGCTGTTCGGAAAAATAATTAATAGTATTGGATGTGTCAGCGAGAAGAATAGCGATAGAATGACGGGTTAACGATACGCGATTAAAGAGCGCGTTCTTTCTGCGCGTAATAATGAATCAACAACTTGTGAACATGCATCGTCGATCGTCGCATTATTGCTGCGATCATCGAGATCGTTAGGACACAATTTCTCGAACGCATAACATTAACGGCAGATGCTAATCGCGCGCGCAGAAGCCGCCGTTGGATGCGAATTATAGCCGAGAACTCTATAATTGTCGACGCATAGAAAATGAGGCACGTCAACATATCCACGGAATGCAAAAGTTTCCGTTCCGTACAATTTGCTTATTTCCGTTCACACCTCCGTCCGAGGTTATTTCATCGAATAAAAATAATCTTTCTGCGGTTTTAAAAAATTTCGACAGAGATGAAAGCAAAATAAAAAAGAAATACAAAATTTTAAATTAAATGAGGAAAAATATAAATAAAATGAGCAATTTTTAATTTTTTTTAAATACCAGCAATTACCAATACTTGTATAAAATGTAATATTCAAAGGAAGAATAGAATTTCTTCATTAAATCAATTTATCGCATTCTTAAAAGTTCGAGAAAAATTAAAATAAAATAAAGAATATATATTTTAACATTTACAAAATATCAAATAAAATAAGCAAGTTGTATTCTTTGTGCACGATAAGTATTGATAATTACCGATAATTAGGATGCAACGTGCAATACCATATAGAATTTTTCATTTTGTAACTCGCCAGTTTTGTTTGAAAAACAGGGGCGACAATTACATAAAAAAATTTCAAAAAAATAAAAAACGAGGACTCCGGAAGATAAATCCGACTTTTCTATGTATTTTGAGAAGGTAATAATTACTCACATATTCTAATGTGGTTGATTCATGGATTGAAAATTTAAATTTGCTATTTATTATTCGTCGCTGCAAATTGTATAGGAAGACTGTTTTAATTAGAAAGAGTGATTTAAAGATTTCATGTTATGAAAGAGACAAAGAATAAAATTACCCTGACAATAAATTATATTAAACAATTTTCGAATGTGTACAAAGCCCGTACGTTTACGCTTTCTTTTCATGAGTCGCAATCTATCGAGAACGATTTAAAGCGGTGTCAAATTAAATGCGTGTAAAGCTGATACAGCTATACCTTACGGCGATAAAATAGGGATTCGTAGCGATCACGTAATTAATAATCAAAATTATTGCACAAGAATGTTGAGATTTCATTCCATTGATTTAGAAAAAAGTCGATAAAAGAGTGTAATTTACTTGTAATATAAATACAAATTCGAAGCATTTTACAAATAATAATGTCGCTATTTCTCTTCACGATGAATAATATGTATAATATATCTATCAAAGATTTATATTATAAATTACTTGTGTGAATATTATATTTTTCGTCCAATAGATATTAATTTTAGAAATTTCATTTAATGTCATAATGATTCGATATACAATTGCAAGAATTTAAGATATTAGCAAGATTGTAGTAAATTGCATCAGTATTACACTGTATGTTAGGGTTTTCCCGCAGAAATTAATTAAGCGTAGAATTGCCTTGTGATCCCTTTCTCGGGACACGATGACACGCGATATAATACATTATTTACTTTTATTTAGTTTTATAATTGCATAATGATATGCAGCGATGCGTTCATGCAGATACAATGTTAAATAACGGTTGCATATTTCTGCAAAAACACGCTTTTTGTTTTGATATAATTGATAGTTATGCATATAATCGATTTGAAAAATGTCCACAGAAATGATAAATAATATGATTTTCTAAAGGAAAATCGGATAAAACATATATTAAAGCTGTTAGCTATTAAGGCTGTCAGCTGTTAGCTATTAAATGAATAAAATTCATATCTGTGAGCTCGTTTTTTAATTTAAACACGCAGAGGTGTCTTATTTTATATAAAACACATATAACAAGATAATATATTTTAAAAATGTAATTTTTTATAGGTTCATACATCACATTAAAAATTCATGATATGTGAAAGCGTAATATAAGATAATTTAATAATTTATATATTTATGAATAATAATATTTTTTTGTAATATGTAATTTTGCAGAATGTGACTTATGTGAAATAAAACTTACAGATGATAAAAAATAAGAGAATTAAAATTAAAAGAATTATATTTTATTATATTTTATATTTTTTCTTTTATGTTATAAAATATATATGAATTTCCACATAAAATTAAGCATCGAAATGTACTTACGCTGATATCGTTCCAGATTAAATCCTCCCTCCTCCTCCTTAGGTATCGATGATGTAAGACGCTGTACTCTCTCAGTTTCCACGTATCCTTCGGGGAACACCGTGGACACATTCATCCCGCTAGGTTTCTGTAATTTCAGGATTTAATACAAATTATTAATAATATGTAATTCTTCTTGAATCAGCAGTTCTTGAGCGTTTTCATTTTTTTCCGATTTGTCAAATTCCACAAACATTATTCGATTCTCAGGATAAACATTTTTCACTTTAATAAAAATTAAAACAGACATTCTATGTATATAGTGGAAAAACTTGTAAACATTATCTATTACTACTCCTTGATATCTATCATGTCATTACCAATCTTCCATCCCGAATCATGATATTTAGATTGCTCCTGTTCATATTGCGATGCGAAACGTTGTACGGATATGAACAATACATTATTGATGCAAATAAAAATACAAAAACGGTATAGAAAATTAATAAGAAACTGTGATTTGTTCTTAGACTTATCACACTTATAATCGGAATTTCGAACAACAATCAAAATGACGATCTCGACTATTTCGTTGCGTCTTTCGCGATGCAACTGCGTTCTTTATCGAGGTCTCGATCGCGTATTAGAGTAGTTGCTAATTCGTCGTCAAATTCGACGTATTAGCGCCTCTGTCAAGCTTGTCATGGATCGTGCCAACAAGTTCCACGTATTATAAAAATCGAAGGATTTTTTATAATGAAAAAAGAGAGAGAGAGAGAAGAATAAATTATATTGTAATTAAAAGAAAAGTAATCTTCCATGTTAATTTAATGGCACCGTGTCTATTATAAAAATCGAAGGATTTTTTATAATGAAAAAAGAGAGAGAGAGAGAGAAATAAATTATATTGTAATTAAAAAAAAAGTTATCTTCCATGTTAATTTAATGGCACCGTGTCTATTATCTTTTACTTTTAAAGAGACATATTGCAATGAAATAAAATATTAATTTATTTCATTCTCTCTTTTTTGCAATTAATAAATTAATAAAGTCATTAAAATAATTTGCAATAAAAATTGACAATTTGCATTACTAATAAAAATTAATTATAAATAGTAAAAAGTATCGTATTTAATAACAAATAAAAATTGGAAAAATTTTTATATTGTCCTCGTAAATATATTATCCTTATTCCACTTTATTGTCACAAAAATTATCATTATCCACATTCGATTGACTTTAAAGTTGATTAGTTGCTTGGTGAAAATCTAATTAACGTGTGTCTTCTAGTTCGAAAATTCTCGTTTCAATCATGAAATGTATGACAACTAGAAGACTAAAACTTTGCATAAATGTGTAAATCTTAAAAATTGCACAAATTGCGCTGAAAATTTGCATAAGCGGTGTCGCGAGAATATTTTCCTTGACTTATTTTATAATCTCTTCGCGCGGCTAAAGATAATCAAGCATACATACATTGCGACAAATTCTGACTCACGACTTAGGCACGTTGATAAGATACTTTGTGTATTGCTCTTATCATTACATCATAATTATCTCGGCAGCGTCATAACTTACGAAAGCGGTGTACGAACAAAAGAGCGTAACTTATCTTTCGTTTGCAAAAGTAATGAAAATCGCGCTCGACTGCGCAATAATAAAAATTGATAAAAGCAATGTTTTATATGTCAAGATAAGAGATAAACCATATTTATAATTACACATTCAGCAATAAACATGTTTAATTATAAATACATATGTAATTTCGAATCTTACATCTCTTTTCATTGAAATTTTTTTTATTAAATTTTTATGGAAATTATAATCGACGAACCGTGATCTGAGAATTATGTTTTATTTAGCCCCAAACCCGCGCATGTTAAAAGATATTTAAACATCATATTCTTTAAAAACAAATAAAATTTATTTTTTCAAATATTCAAATAATTCCTAAAATTTTATTCGCAATTACTTATAACATTCTAAAGTTATTCGCAAAATTAAAAGCTACAATTAAAAAGAAAAAAACCTCTGCAGTTGTTTTAAAAAGGTAGAATTGTAAAAAGGCATAAAAAGACTACATTTCCAGAAATAATTTATGTTTATACATAGTATGCGATTAAAAACCACCCTGTAGATTTTTCTCATCCGAGTCACACGTAGTATCAACGTGTCAAACGACAGTATCAAAGTGTCCATCCGCTTGTCAATTTTAAAGATCGCACTTACAAATCACTTCCGCCAATTCTCAAGAAAATTAACAAGAGAGAGAGAGAGAGAGAGAAGAGACTCACCCACGGACGGCGATTAAAGCCGAGCTTCTTGGCGGTCGTGTTGAAGACGAGGAACTCGCGCCACAGGTTCAAATAGGAGGTCCTGTTGCCAGGATGTGGCATCCTCGTGGCGGCCAGCCTCTGCAATCTGCGAGCCACGACTTACCACTCTCGTTGGCCATCAACCCGCCACCGAGACCTGCTGGATCACCCTCGCGTCCTGCGAGCGACAGAACTGACTCCGCGAAGACGACGACCAGCGAACGATCACTGGGAGGATCCTCCACGATTTACCCCCGTCGATCCAATAAGGGTGATGGTGGTGGTAGCGATGCATATAACGACCTTGGCAGCGACCTCGTCGAGTTGCGTGACGATGTACTGTCGTTGATGCTTCTGCTCGCAATGTTCCGGTTGCAGCGGTCTGCTTACGTCGTCCTCGATATTATTGTTGTCGTCGCACGATCAATCCAATAAAATCAAGCCAAGCAAGCCAATAAAATCGAGAACCGAGAAAATCTTCTTCGAATATTTGAAGCAAAGAAGTATTTGTTCTCGAGAGTTAATGATGGATTCCTGGTTCGAATAAAGCTTTCTGCGAAATTATTACAATTTTTTATAATTTAATAAATTATAAATTATAATTTCTTCTCTTTCTTCTTATTCTTATCTCTTCAATTTTATGTATAATTTTGCTTTCTTTCTCTATTCCTCTTCTATTCTCTCTTCTCTTGCTCCTTCTTTTTCGTTTTTTCTTTTCCTTTTTTTTATTATTTTATCTTCCTTTCCTTTTTTTCACAATTATAAATCCATATAAAATTTAATAGACCTAATAATTATAAATCCAGATGATTTTATTATTTCTCTTTTTACCACCTTACGACCTTTGGCCTTTCACATAAATCTTCGACCGTTATAAACAACAGTAGGCACCGTCAAGGCCGTTGATAAGATTCCGTTAGTGAGATTTTACGCGGGAAATCTCCGGCCGAGGACTTCCGGTCAACGTCTGCAACGACCAATTACTCACAGCTTACTTACAATTAGATCTCGTCTGCGATATTACTTGCAATTGGGTCGAAATTTTTACGAGATTCTCGTGTTGTTAATAATACGGAAATAGCTTCCTCAAACAAAGATAAAGATAATATTTATTTAGAATTTTGTACAAAAAAATTAGAATGTTTTCTTGATATGATATATCACTATCTTGATAATTACTGTAAAAGTATCTTGATTGATCTAATCACTAATTATTATCGTAATATAATTTAATTTAACGTCATAAAATTAATGTAATTCAATTTAATTTGATCTCATTTCACATATAGGATTACATCATCCCTATTTCCAAAATCATCAATTTAATCTGCTTCTCATAATATCTTTTAAGTGGCAAAAATAATTAACCGAATAATTTATGATATTACAAAGTAATTGAATAATTTACGTTATACAATTAACTGAATAATTTATGATATTACACTTATATCAAAATATTTAACTAGTTATTATCGTAATGTAATTTAATTGAGCGTCATTAAATTAATTTAATACAATTTAATTTAATCTAATTTCACGTGTGTATATAGGATCACATCTTTTTTCGAAACTACGTCTTGTAAATAATGTAAATTAATTAACTAAATAATTTTTGATATTACCAAAATGCGTTAAAATTTATTTCAATTTTATTTCCGCGGAATTCATGAGTAAAGCTAACTGGATGATTCGCTGTCAAGTTATTTGTTATTTCAAATTCCTCGATTCTCCCCCGTGTCTCGGCATAATCCCTCCTAGCGTTCTATTTCGCAGCAGTTAACTGATATTACGACGATGGTGAGCTCGCGTGCAGATAAAACCGTGACAATTAGCATACGTGAGGTCAGCCGATGGACGCGATGAACATGGGGGAACGTCATATCTGCAGTTTCTTGCACTCACCCGCCCGTAACGATCGGCTTGCAACGCGTGGCGTCGCAGGAAATTGCTCGCGAAATTTGCATAATCACATATATATCAATTTATTAAAAATGCAACGTGTCAATTTTCTCTCCAGGAAAAATTTTAAATAATCGCCAAAATTGATTTGTTTTATCGATTCTCAAAAACTAATTTGGAGACGATCTCTCTTTTGCACAAGAATTTAAATCGAAGCGTAATTACACATAAGAAACGTTTAATATAAATATATATATATAT